ATTCCTACTTCGCGGTTTTTCACTTATCGCGGGTCTTCAGGGTACGGATCCCTGTAATAAACGAGGGACTACTGTAATTTTAAATGTGATGGAATGTTATCAGTGCACAGTTCAAGAACCTGCCTCTCTGATGGTATGGGGTTGCATTAGTACATCTGGCATGAGCAACTTACACATTTGGAAAGGCACTCTCAATGCAGAAATGTACAGTATAAACAGTTTTTATACAATAAATACTCCCATTCAGACATCATTTTTTTCTAGGGAAGACCTGCTTGTAAAACTTGCTCAAACAGACAGATTTATATAAATTTAATGAAGGTTATATTTTTATTTATATTGTACAATTAAATAAAAGATGAATGTTTGTGACTATACTCAAACGCATTGTTTCTAACTCTTCTAGAAACAAATAATTGTGTAATAATAAAGTAAAAAATAAAATAAAAATATGTGTGTGGAGACTACACTGATAGTTTTATTTTCTTCATGCGGTGTTTAGTTTTACTTTTATATTCTTCATATGCAAATACAACTGAAATATATTTGTAATTAAAGATGCAATATTCTTAAACTAGAACATATTTGTGATTTTGCAAGCTATTTCATTTAAACACATGTCACCTCTTTCTTCAGCACATAAAAGAGCGAGAAAGAAACACTTCGGCCTGGACTAAACGACTAGTTAAGACACATGTTTTTTGCTGGAAAGCCCCTTATCTCTGTCTATCCCATAAATGATGCAGAGCAGACATCGTCTGATGGCACCAGATGTGGGGGTTGGGACTGAAATCACACCTGGAAACAGCAGTGAGCAAATTTTGGGATCAAATTTCTATCTGACCTTTTTAAAAGTTCCATTTTTTAAGACGCTAATGCCAAGTTATCATAATCACATTAATCTGGGTCATGTCATGTCACTTGTGCAAAACAGAAAAATCCCTTGAGCCTTATGTATTTGTTAAGTTTTCATCTGGGAATTTACATACAAAAACTGCTTACTATGATAATGCATTTGGAAGAACAGGCTTGAGTTAACCCTCTGTGTATGGCATGGCATTGACCTCAGGCAACAAACCACTATTTGGGCCCACGCTCCTCACCCTGAAAGTCTTAGAATAAGTCTGTGACCAAAAAAATTTGAGTTTGGAGAGCGTGCGACCTTTTGACATCCTCTTTGGCACCACAAACACCTTGGTTGGGCACCCTGCTAGCAGAAGGTGAGATAAATGTCACTTTTTAGCATGTTTAAATTTAAATTACTTTGTACAAAAAATATATGTGATGTGTATGAATATGTGTAGAAAAAAATTTGATTTAGAAAATACACATTTGGACTTTATTTATATGCAGAAATGGTGGTTTTTCATTCGTTGCCACAAGGCATCATTGTGCAGTTTGACCACTTTAGCTTGACCAGTAACATGCACGTGGATGGAGATAAACAAAAATACATAGCTCCATAATATATATTTTAGCTGTATTACTACTACCCGCAGGAGATGGATACAAAAACATTTTATGGGTGCAACAAGAAACTTGATTGAACAGTTAGGCTCGACCAGAACCAGGTCTGAGGGAGAGATGAAGACCAGGGTTCAGTTAGCAGTGGAACAGCTTATGATGTGTGTGTGGGGGTGTGTGTGTGTACGCAAACGAACAAACAAAAAAACACCATTAAAATGAAACTTCCTCTAATGTATTTACTGTTTGTTCCTTATTCCATTATTATATAATACAAAATCTTGGTGTTTTAGTACTCTTATAGCATCTTGTTGCCTTGAGGCAACAAACCAATATACTGGTGATGGGGGCTAGGGGGTACATTTTATGATCAGTATATTATCAGGGACCCCCAAGCTCCTAAAAACAACAGTGGGCTTTAGACAATCTCCATCAGGCCCCCAATGTCCTTAGTTCAAAAGAAAACAACTTTTTTTTTTAAATAGATTGATTTAAAAAAATGAACAATTTATCATTAAGACAAGGAAATTTAAATTAAACATCTTACGCAAAACTTAAAAAAAAAGTCATTCTGTTTCCAGATCTAGACTGAACCATAAAGACTTAGAAACACAAATACATACGTTTGTTTTGCACATTTCTGCTAACATACAACATGTTGTACAATGTGTATAATATGATGTCACAAGAGCCAGTTTACAGAATATGTCTTATATTTCTAAAGGAGAGTAGAAACATGTTTTTATAAAGCATGCTAACTATGCTACAAGAAGCTTGAGAAGTGTATTCTAGATTATTTGTCATAAAGAAAATGTTCCAATTCCCCGTGCGGCCCTTTGATCGCTTTAAACATCTTGATATGGCCCTTTGGAAAAAATGTTGCCCACCTCTGCCATAGAGGGTTAAATGTACTCAGACACACAACTGAAGAAAGTCCCAAAATCCATCAAGTTATCTCACATAATCTTAGAAGAACATCAAATATATTAGAGTGTAAAATATTGTTCACAATTATTCAAATATCCTCAACTTTTGACGGAATAATGCAAATGAATGCGTTTATCAACCAGAGTTTTAGTTTACGGCTGCATTTATTCATGCCTCTTCTCTGTCACATGGACTTAACGTGTCAGAAACTGGAAATGTTTACAGTTCATAATCAGATTTTCCAGGATACTGAGCACGATTAAAGAAAATGTATTACTGTCTGTTGAACTCTGAAAAGTATTAAAAGGAACGTGCTTGGAAACGGGGAAATGCGCTCAAAAAGCCGTGGCATTAAACTCAAACAGTGCATTTCTAAAAGGCGGTGGCGGAATGAAATTGACAGTCAGGTAATTTAATGGTTCGGTAAAAGAAAGTCTTCAGAATAGTTCTGCTTTAATGGGCGACGATTTCAATAAACGAGTCTGAAAAGAAAGTTTGTGCTCTTTTGAAACAATAATTTTCATTCCTCACGTTCTTCTTGCACCGGTGCATGATGGGAAAAAAATGTTTTTTTATCGTTGACTGTTTAGGCTTCAAGTCTGGATAGCTCGATGTTTTTCTTATTTTTTTTTTTTGTTTTCTGTAAGTCACAGAAGAACATGTTACCTGAAGTGGGGGACTTGCAGCGGTCTTCTGATGTGGCCGAGCCCTCGTTGATATCACATAAACCTGTCGAGGATACCACAGTTTGAAAATGACCAAGTTCAATCGGTGCTGACTTGACTCATCGTTTAGTGTAATGGCACTAAAGGCCAAGTGGTGATAATGTTTTGACTTGCGAGTGTGAGTCTTTGTCTGTGTGCGTGTTCATTTGTCTGTCTATTAGCTAAATATTTCATGAATCACTAGATGATTTTTAAAGAAACTCAGAAAGTAGTCCATGGATGTGCATCCACAACTCGATTCAAGATGGCTGCCACCGCTAAGCAAACTCCAACACAAAACTGTCTACAACTGAGGTAATTGTAGAGAAAGAAAAAAAAATATAGTGTGGCAGTAAATAGAGATATTCCCAACACATTAGGGCTGGATGATATGGCCGAAACTTTTATCGCAATATATTTCTTAATTTCAGTCGATAACGATGTAAACAATTTTAAAGCCTCAGACAAACTGTACAAATAAATTTAATGCTCACCTTTTATTTTTATTTAGCCCTAAAAAAATTGAAATCAACATCAAGTAAACGTAAAACTCTCAACTTTGTTAATATTAATAGTTTGAACTTTAAACCACAATATAACCTAACAATGCAGCAAATGTCTGTTTGTTACATGTGTTTCTCTTTTGATACAGCTGGGGGGGGGGGGGGTGTTTCAGGGACACGTTGGCTCAAACTTTATTGTTCTTCATCTTGTGACTCTCAGCATATTCTATCGAGAGGAAACTCTTCACATGGAACAAGTTAGATGTGTTCCCACCGCTATATGGAACGACTCTACGTCACATTTTTCAGCACACTGAAACTTGCAGTTTATCGGCACTTCCACACGGCCATATTAGTATTTCCTCTCTTATCAGTGATGTCATCTGCTTTCTCTTGGCTTGTGAAAGCTTGTTCAGTCACATTCCGACGGTCATGGGCACTCATTTTGAAGTGAAAACATAACGCGCGTTGGAGATTACACCTTCTGGACTTGAGCTCTGCGTAACATCTACGTCACCACGCACTTACGTAGTTGTGTTGCACCTTTTTTCTGTCCGGGTTGAAACTGAAGCGGCCGCTTCAACCCGAACAGAAAAAAACATGTGTCAGTGAAACGGTGTAATCATATCGAAAATGTGCTAAAAGCTCATATCACCGTTTTTGAAAAAAGTATATTGCAGCATCTATCGATATCAAATTATTGTCCAGCGCTACAACACAGAATCTAAGCAGTAAAGTTTTGCAATCGCCTATTAGAGAAAACTGTATGTTAGTAACATGATCAACAGATCAAGTGTATCACAGACAGAAAAATACACGTTCATCTACATGAACTTACACGAACCACTGTACAAGTTTTAATTAAACTGGCAGATCAATCACTGGATATACTGGTACATCTACAAGTTGGCCAATGCATAAATGGCTATACCTCAGTTATGCTTTTATATACTAAGCTAAAACTGAGTGTGGTAGTAGCTGAGAGTGTTCCTCAACACACCCTCAGAGTGATAACAGATCTTGCAACGTTGCCTGAGTGTGCACATGACGTCATTTACAAGGTAGAACAACTCCTAATCAGAAGACGTTTTTCGTTTCAAACGAAAGGCGATGGGTGATTCCTTCAAGGAATGCTCGGCCTTTAATTGCAGCATGCTTTTGCTTTGTGTGACATTTTTCTGCAGGGCAGAGAGCCAGCCCGGCAGCAGGGCGGCTGATTACAGCTCACTTTTGCCAAGCTCTAAAACGAGCCAGCCCACTGCTCACAAGTCGGTGACATTAATTGCCCTTCATGTATTTACGCTCACGTATTCTTGTGTTTTATGGGAGCCTGTACATGAATGTGTATTTTCTGTCTGTGATACACGTGACCTGTGTAACTGTTTATAAGCCGTCATTAAATGAAAGAGTAACCTCTCAGCATTTGCACACTCATAATAGAAATATAACAGTAAAACCTATGGGTGACTTTAGATTACTGTCATGCAGCTGTACTGCTCTTGACTAACACCTGATGGCGATGTGTCCACACTTAAAGCATCCTGTATGAGAAGCAAACGGGCTGCAATAAAAGTATGTACGACTAAAAGCTAAACAATAACAATATAGTGAGACAGATAATCAAGCAAAGCCATTCACAGCTCAGAGAGCAAGTACTTCCTGTTATTAAACTGCTTTGTCATGTATCAGTCTCATGAATTATGCCTGAACAGCATCCTCCCAACTGCAGCGTGTGGTGGACTTGATTGATTCTCATACTTGGATCAGTTTAAAGATTAGATCAGGGACTGCTCACCTGCGATTAAAACTTCACTGCCAATAAGTCATCACGTTTAATGAAAACCTAAACTTGTCGTTGGATGGAAGCAGAATGCAAAAATGTAAATTAGAATCTAACTCCGTTGAGTGTCATTGTGTTTATATACGGTCAAGGCTGAAAAGATGACATTTAATAACTGATAAAAGATGTGTACTTGTCACTGTGTCCTTTTTTGGCCTTTTAGACTAAAGCACATCTAAAAAGAAAACAAAAGTTCACCTTAGGGCTGAGTTTTAGTCTATTTCAGCTTATATACTGTATATGTTCTTGGTTTTAGGTTTTTGGACCTGAGCATTTTAGGAATACATTTTTCAGTCCTTTTCCCTCCTTGGATGGCATTAATCTGGCCTCCGGCTCTAATGTTAAAAATCTTGGTGTTATTTTTGATCAGGACATGCCTTTCATCCCCAACGTTATTAGAACTGCCTTCCTCCACCTGCGTAAATCACTAAAATGAGAAACATCTTATCTAAAAATGATGCAGAAAAACTGTTTCATGTATTTGTCACGTCTAGACTGGACTATTGCAATGGTTTATTATCTGGGTGTCCAAATACTTATTTAAAAAGTGATCAGTTATTCCAAAATGCTGCTGCCAGAGTCTTAACTGGAGTTAGTAGGAGAGATCATATTTCTCCAGTTTTAGCTTCTCTCCACTGGCTCTCTGTCAAATCCAGAATTTAATTCAAAATCTTACTTCTAACCTACAAAGCTCTCAACAACCTAGCTCCATCTTATATTTGAGATCTTACTGTTCAATATTTTCCCAACAGAGCACTTGGCTCTCAGACTGCAGGCTTTCTCGTGGTTCCTAGAGTTTCCAAAAGCAGAATGGGAGGAAGATCTTTCAGTTATCAGGCTCCTCTTTTATTGAAACAACTTTCAATTTTCTGGCTGTAGGGCTGATGCATTGTCCAGTTTTAAGACTGGGGTTAAGAACTTCCTTTTTGATAAATCCTATAGTTAGGGTTGACTTGTTATGCTGCCTTAAGCTTAGACTACTGGAGGACAAATGGACCTCATTTCCTTAAATGAAATATGAAAATTGAATAGTTTTCATTTGATACTATTTCCATCTCAACATGTGATTCTTGACCTGCCATTGTGTATCTGTTCCTCTCAAACCCAGCCAGTCGAAGCAGATGGCCACTTGTCCTGAGCCTGGTTCTGCTAAAGGTTTTTTCCTCATGAGGGAGTTTTTCCTTTCCACTGTCGCCTTCATGCTCGCTCAAGATGAGAGTCTGTGATGAAGTTAAATTCAAAGCAGTCTGCTCCTCAGATAAATAATGTTAACATGTTGTTTTTATATATGAATGTTTCTGCTATATGAATAAACTGAACTGAATTGAATAGAAGTGTAACATTAACACAATGAAATTAAACTGCATGTTTGATAATACAAATGATGGTTATGGCTGAACAGCAGGAAAGTTAAGATAAGTTATTCTTTACCTCCTGAAGGCTGTCGTGTTTTTCTTGGCGACCGAGGCTGTCTCTGATAGGGGTCGTTGGAGCCGTAAAGCTCGACAGTTCCTAAATTGAGTACGACGGTCTTCTGGACGTAGTCCACCACTGCCAGACCGTTACTGTTACCAAACACCACTCTGGGGGCCGATGGCAGGACGCGAGGGAGCCGAAGAATTAGAAAGAAAAAGACGGAGAGAAGTTAACAGGATATAAATGCAAATAGCAAGATTACTTATCACCTGCTGCCAAAGGGCATGCTCTAATGTAATTATCTGTTTGTCTGTTAGCAAAATATCTCATAAACCATTGAACGGGTTTAAATAAAACTATCAAAAAGTAATCACTGGATGTACATTTATAACTGATCAACTTTTAAGGTCAACGTCATGCAAGACAGCCGTCACAGCTGATCAACTTTAGCAAACACAAAAATGTCTCTAACGCAGTGGATTTGATAGATATTGTGCTAGAATTTGGTGTGGTAGTATCTAAGAGCCAACCCCACATGTTCACTTTGCTTTAAATCTTTGTTTAAAATGTTACCATTAGGGAAGGGGGAGGGAAATCTGAGATGGTCATCATTGTACGTTCCCATGCAGTGGTGAAATTAGTTCCTGCATTTAACCCATCACACCTGAGTTACACCCAGGTGTAGATGGAGGGTGCAGGTGGAGCAGTGGACAGCTACGTAAGTGCCACGGGAGCAGTTAGGGATTAGGTAATACATTTATACATTTTATTTCAAAGGCGCCTTTCTGGCACTCAAGGACACCGTACAAAGAATAAAATCAGCAGTAACAGAAACTAAGAGATGAAAAGAAAAGAAAAGAAAAGAAAAGAAAAAGAAAGGAAGAAAAAAAAAGACAATGTATAAAATCAATATATATATATAGGTGTCTTGCTCAGAGACACCACGACATGTGGAAATGGCTGGGAGTCGAACTGCGACTTTTTGGTCCCAAGTCAGCTGCCCTGCCTCTACCCCATCTGTTAAAGTCAACCTTGTCTGTCTATTAGCAAAATATCTCATGAACCAGCCAACAAATTCCAGTAAAACTCTTAGAAAGTAACACTGAATGTACATCTACAACTAATTATCGTTTGAAATCAACCAGATTAAAGATGACTGCCACAGACAATTTATCTAGTATATATATCTATAATGGTTAATTTTACAGATATTCCGCCAGAATTTCTTTTGGTAGTAGGTGAGAGTCCGTGTTGACACATTTGAGCACCAACAAATTTGTGTGATTACAGTAGTCCCTCGTTTCTGCACGGTTTGTTTTTCGCGGACTCGCTCTATCGCGGTTTTTCAAAGTAAGATTGGACATGACACACAACTGGCTGATTGATGGATGAGCTGCACGATCAGCATGGAATTTTTATTTTAAATGAATTATTTTAAATTATTTAGCACCTGCTGCACCTCTGTGCAGCCCACACTGCAGGATAAGCTTCCTCCTGCAGCTGATCTCCGTTAGAGTTGCATTCGGGCCAAAAAATCCGATCCACTCGGCCCCAGCCATAGCTATCATTTCCGAACCCCCCCGACCCGACGAATTAACAGTAATTACAGGTTTGAACCTGAAACAGTCAGCAGACACAGCTGAATAAGAGGGGCAGAAGATCGGAGCTGAGGGGGTGTTTGTCCTTTCATGGCTGTCAAAGTGCATTAAAACCCTGGTTCTGCCCGCATTCTGATTTATTCAGATACAAACCACTCTGACACGTCTGCTTTGGGATCTCACCTGTTTGGTGAGTGAAGCGGCTGAATGAATGTCCATTTGGGCGATGGATCGCTTCCTGGCAGTACCAGTAGTCCCATCTGAAGCTTAACTGAACTTTATTTTCCTCTTTCAAGGCCAGTCAGCCCATGGTGAAACAGCCGCGTGCGGCTGGTGAAAGTATGACAGGCAATGTTATTATATAATTGGATTTTATGGCAAGCTATGTTGCCATATAATTAGATCGCGGCTGATCTGACGCAATCAAAAGCCCAACATGATCCGGCCCACCCATCCAGCACATTATCATGGCTCGGCCCGTCCCGAATTCGAGTTGGGTAGGGCCGGGCTTCGGGCCCAGGTTAGAAATGACGGCTCTAATCTCTGTTGAGAGTGGTGGAGTGGGCGTGGCCAAGAGCGTTTGCAGGTGGCAGAGTGCAGCCGAGGCAGATAGATGAAATCATGACATTGTCCTCTTTTAGAGCGTTTAGAGTTTAAAAACATTGTTTAGAATATTGGAAGAGTGTGGGAAGGGTTTAAAATGCCTTCATATAAATACAAAAAAAAAAGACTACTTTTTGTACTACTATTCCTACCTGGCAGTTTTTCACTTATTGCTGGTCTTCAGGGTACAGATCCCCTGCGATAAACAAGGGACTACTGTAT